CGAGTTTTTCCGGCTGGAAAATAGAATTGTAAATAATCATCTAAGCATTGCAAAGGAAGTCAATATCTCGCGTCAAGATCAAGTCTTTAAACCATCCGAGAAAAAGCAATCGTCCAGAAAACGAAAGGATGTTCGAGAAGAAACAACAGAAAAAAATATTACACAAGGTCAGAGTCGGAAAATTACTTTGAAAATGTGCTTTGGAAACAACATAAACTTTTATGCGCAATTGAGAATTACCAAAGAAAAATGTAATACAGTAAAATTAATGAAAAAAGAAATAATTGTGTCAAAAAAGCAAAATCAGTTCAAACTAAAAATTTAATAGATAAAGATGAAAAAAATTCAAAAGAAATTGGTAGATTTTTTCTTTTGAAAAATCATCATATAAACCATAGTCAAAATACTTTAATTACATCAGAACTTCAAAGTCTGTGTTGCATAATATTCACTTAATTGCATTTCTATTTATGAAAGTTTTGATCAAATTTTAAAATATAAATAGATCTTCCTAATTCAGCATCTGTGAATGGCTCAACAGCTCTAGATAATCAGCAAATACCTCTGAATAATTCTTATCGCCTATCAAATCTTTCCGTGTTAACAGATGATTCTTTTATAACAACATCTTCGCGTATAAGTTCTGAAATTACGCCAGATAGAAATACTGGAAAGTCGTCCAAACATATTCTTTGTGACGGGATTGCACATGACAAGGATTTTGAAAAGAACTCATCAGCTCAAAATAATAATATTCCATTGCAAAGCAATGTGAACACTTTATTGGAAATGGATGGTAAACGTTCGGTGTCAGTGCAAAACAATCCGTCTTTAGTAGCTGCATCAAAGTCAGTGAGTCGAAGAATGACATCCACAGATAAATATTATCAGAGTGCACACTTAAATTCATCCGTAGATAATGACAATCTTGACTTGGATTTCCAGGAACATAAGGAGAATATAATAATTATTGATGATGATGACGATGACGATTTATGGTCTAATGCTGATTATAATACTGCTAAAACAAACGGTGGTGCTTCTACGAAAGTTATGGTACAAACTGAGATCTTGGATATTCTTTCTACACGAATTATTGGTGAAATGGATAATCAAAATGAACCAAAAGAGATACTTAGACCTCGAACACCAGATTCCATTCAAGAAAGATTGATTAAATCCGGTATCTCACCTGCACCATCTCCACCGTCATTGCTTTCTCAAGATTCACTTGAGCAAATACCGTTGTCTATTTTGGAACAATTGCCTTCGCTAAATACATGTACTTTCCAATTTGATGATTTCGATGATCTGTTGTCATAGTAGAGTTTAGAACCGGGTTATAGTAAACCGTGTCACCTGTGTCAAAACGGTTCAACCGAGTCAAAAATTTACAACTCGGGTCAAAACGGTTGAATATGTAACCTCTAACAATCTG